TCCATAAGCAAAAACGTGTTGAATGGGCACAAAAACACAAAGATGACAATTGGGAAAAGACATTATTTAGTGATGAACATCTTTCCAATTGTTTTGTAATACAATAAAGCATTGGTATAAGAATGCAAGACCAATTTGTCCTATGCCAAAAGACTGAAGCAAAATATTTGCATGGGGTGGTTTCTGTGTAAAAGGTAAAACAAGTCTAACTTGTTTTAGGTGCATAATGGATGCAAAATATTTCACAGAAATATTGGAGGAGCATATCCCAGAGATAAATAGTATGCTGAGGGGTGAATGGTGGTTACAGCAAGACAATGACCCTAAGCATACTAGCTGTATTGCCCAGGAATTTCTTGATAATAATGTCCCAGAGGTTATGGACTGGCCCTCTAATAGTCCTGACCTAAATCCAATTGAAAACCTTTGGGCCATTGTTAAAAGAAACGTGGAGAAGTGTAGACCCAAAAATATACATGCAGCCCAAAGTATTTTGACATTGTCATAAAGGGGGTTGCACATGTAGTAAAGGGGTGTTACACTTATGTTTTTAATAGTGAATGCCGTAATTAATTTCTACTTTCTACCATCAAAATTGGAATAATTTTGACCATCAAAATTACCAAATCAATTTGGGCTGCATGTATACCCAAAAATCTTACTGAATTAGAAAGTTTTTTTGGTGAGGAATGGGACAAAATTCCAAATAGTCTTCTAATTAGTCTTGTAGATTCAATGCCAAACGTTGTAACAAAGTTATTGAGAAAAATGGTGAACGGATATCATATTAATTTTTTTTAATAAAATCTGCTGCCTTTTAGCTTTAAAACAATATGCTGTACAGTTGAATTGGTATAATGGTTGTGAAACTATAATAATTTTAAAAATTGTCATTTTTTTTTGCACACCACTGTAAATAACAGTAAAAATAAATAAAGTCAATAGCTACCATTGTGGTTATTAAATATATTTAATAATATTATTATTCTGGAACACATTCTAATTATTTTATATATTTAAATATATGAATTTTATACCCACAATCCAGGACCGCTCCTTAAATAACAGAAAACTGACAAATTTAATAGCCCATATATTTGTAAGTAAACATAGTTTTTTACTTTTGATTTACATAGGTTGATATAAAATTTTTTTTATGTAACATAATAAATGCATGACTTTCTATGGGGGCGAAAAATCGATTACTATTATTATTACTATGAAATTTAAAAAATTTGCCCGGATCGGCATTAATTAAATCCTTTCCTTAACTGGTGGATCACGAATTAATTGTATATAACAATTATGATCTAAATCAATAAAAAAAAAATTTTTTTTTAAAAATTCATTTTAAAATCTTTTTTTTATTTTTAAAAAATGTCAACTTTCAAAAGAATCGACCAAGAATTAAAAGATGTAAAGGAGAGGTTGAAGGAAGGAGAAGAAGGAGAAGATGATGGAAAGTGGTTGAAGAAGTTGAAGAAGAAGCTGAGGATGTTGAATAGTGAGATAAGAAGAGAAAAAGATGAAGAAAAAGAGAAAATTTTGGAGGGGGATAGTAAAGATTTGGAAGAGGAGATAGGTGAATTGGAGGAAGAGAAAGAAAGGTTGGAGAGTGAGAAGAAGAGGTGGTGATGAAGTTGCATGATGCATTGGTTAATTTCAGTAGAGGAGGGGAAGGTAATGAACAAATTGTGTAAAAAAAAATTATTCAATTCTGTTTTATTATTTATCATTTTTCCTCTTTATTATTGCAGCAGGTAAAATGCAAAATTATATAATTTCTTAGAGAATGAATTTTTTTTTTATCCATTCATTTATTCACTTTATTTTCTGTTCATTTACTTTCAATTGCTACTTTTGATTGACATCACAGAAGGTGTTGAGAAAGATCAAGGTAAACACCATTTGCACACTCTTAATAATTTATGTCCATTTACTTTTGCATACATTAAATTTTCTTATGTCTTACAGAAAGTGTGCAAGTAGGACTAAAACGTAAAAATGAAAGTAAGTTTATTATTTACTACAGACTATGAAAAAATCATTTTCAGTATCAACTTTATATTATTTAACAACACTCTCTTTATAGGTCAGAAAGAGAATTTAACAAAAGTTTAGAATGGGTCCTCCCTCATCAGTTGCTGCATGCACTGAATTTTTTAAACAACAAAGACAAGAGATTATTTTGAATGGTCATCTGCCTAATTGTATTGGACCACCAATTTTCTTATATCATGAGGTTTTTTCAAAATTTTCTTCTGATTTCAATAATGAAAGTCTTGATTTATCAGATGGACTTTGTGCATGGTCAAGTAAATTAATTAAGGATATGGCTAATGAACACATCAATGAAGATTCATGTAAGAATGCATTTATCAATCATATTACTGAATTTATTGGTAAGCTTATTGAGGTAAAAATTGAGGATGGAAGTAGCAATGATGGGATGTTATTGGTAGAAACTGCTTGTGGTGAAAATGGATTACAAATTATTCATGAAATTAAAAATGAAATTGGTGAAGGAGGAAGATCCAACAATTCAAGCAACTCTTTCATATTCAAAGTATTGGGCCCAAGAACAGGTATATTTCCTATATATTGACAATATCCATAATGCATTTTCTTTCACTAATCATTAATTAATTATTTCTAATATAGCATGATAAAATCTGAGCTGTGTGCAATTGTCCATCAATACTTCTTGCTGTCACAGGTCATGGATCTGTATTTATACTTCTAATCCAGTGATTAGTCCTCTTACTGATTTCATTCCAATGATACCTATATAGTCTTGATGAAAAATGCTATCAACGTATTGCATGTCTTTTTCAAGCATTATACAATGCAGAATGGTGTTTAAAAAAAATTTATCAGACACTTGATGTATCCAAACATGTAAATATTGAGAATCCTCAACATTTTTACCCATATCCTCATTAAGGTTTCTGGCCAAAACTGCTTCTATTAGTAGCCTAAATTGCCCAAATAATTTGGGCAAAATTAATTTTTTTATAAGCCCAAACTACTTTTTGTTATTAGCTGAAATTGAATGAAATTATTTTAAAGTTGTTCAAGTTAAAACAAGTTGATTCATATAGTTTTTTAATGCTCATGCTTATAGAAAATGTTGAGAAGCCCAAATTGCTCAAACTAGTTTGGGCTTTGAGAAAACAGTTTGGACCAGAAACCTTAATCCTCATCAATATGTCACAGATAATGATGTAACAGTACAATTTACTTATGAGGATTGGTTGACAGAAGACAAATCAAAGCTTTTATTCAAGGGAAAAACTTATGATGGATGTGAAATTGTTATCAAATTTACTCAGAGATATAATGTTAAAGCACACCATCTTTGTGCTTAGAAAAACCTTGCACCAAAACTCTTTTGTGTCAGCAACATCAATTTGGGAGGATGGTACATGATTGTAATGAAATATATTAATGGTGAAACATTACAGACTGCAAACATTACAAAAGAGGAATATAATGATGTTTTAAAAAATATTCAAGAGGCCATTGACACTTTGCACACTAATGATATTGTTTTTGGTGACTTATGTAGTTCAAACACAATGATAGAAAAGGTTCATGGAAAGTTACAAGTAATGCTTATAGACTTTGGCTGGGCTGGAATACATCAAAAAGATCGTTATACACCTATAATGAATCCAGAAATTAAATGGGCAAGTGGGGCTGAAGGAAATACTTTAATGCACAAAGATCATGATTTATACTGGCTAGAGATATTGAAAAAAAAATATGAATATTAAGTTATTAAAATTTTTTGTGCTAATCATTTTACAATATTAGTTTTATTATAGGGATTTTTGACATTCTAATAAGATTATAAAGGATTTTTTTATTTTTTTCAAATGGACATTATAAGCATTATAATTATAAACTTTTTAACAAGTCTTGATGTATAAATGTAGTAGTGAGTTGAAAGTATGCTGTATAATTATCCTTTTCCATGCGTTGTATGTTGCTTGTAGTTAATAACAATTATTAAAATTCAATAAAAAAAACTACAAAGTGAACATAAAATTATAAAATTATATATATAGGGATAAGTGTATATGAAAAATATTAACAAAAGTAATAAATGCAATGGTTCTAATGAATATCAAAAAACAATTCAGTTTTTAGAAAAAGGTTGTGATTGTGGTTGTTCTTCAAGAATTCCCAAGGAAGAATTTTCAGAATTAAGGGAATCCTTTCAAGCTCTTCCTAAACCAGAACAAGACATATTTTTAATGGCCCAACTTAAGGCAATGGATGGTGGAACAATAAGCGCCAGTAGGTGTCTTAAAAAGAAAACCAGATCTAATAAAAGAACTTTCTATCACTGAGATTACAATTATGGTTGCTTGCCAAAACTCCTTTGGAAATCAATTGGCAGAGTTTCAGAGGTAACACACTAATTGTTTGTTAGAGTTTTGGCAGAGTTTCACATTTAGGGATTTTGACAATTAGCAGAGTTTTGGAAGGTTACACACTAATTGTTTATTAGAGTTTCGGCAGAGTTTCAGCAGTCATTAAGAGGTTTCGGCAAGCAACCTTAATTACATTACACCTCTTTGTAGGGTTGGGTCAGTTTCACTAATAAATGGTTTGAACTCGGTTTTGAAACCAACCCCTGGTTTTTTTTTGGTTTGGTTTTTGGGGGACGTTAGAAAGGGACAGGGACAGTGATCTGCAAATTTCGCCTGTACCCTGTCCTTTTCTAAATTTCCCTATCAAATTTTGAAAAGGACAGGCGAGTGGCACAGGAGAAATGTAAAAATTTTAGAAAAGGACAGGTGACAGGTGTGGCGCATACAAGGTACAGGTGACATGTACCCTGTCCTTTTCTAAAATTCTCTGCAAAATTTAGAAAGGGACAGGGTACAGGGATCGACTACATATATCCTTTTTAATTTTTTTTTATTTATTTTTGATAATTACATTAATAAAAATTATTTTTTTGTATTTTTAATTCTACTACTACGACGAACTACAGCAGTGTTATCTTTAATAGTCCTGGGTCTAAAGAAAATATGGAAATTTTGTTAATAATATTAATAAATGAATGCATTATTACTATTACAGTAAGTCATTAATAATTACTTTTTATTTTTTTTTATCAACTTCAGGTTCCTCTTCCTCTTCCTCTTCATTTTTACCTTTGTTAAAATACTGATGGCTTTTATCAGTGAAATATTCAATTACTAGAAAAAATACAACATTATTAATCAATTGATGACAAAACAACCAACTTTTTTCATAAAAATCTACTTACAGTCTATCCCTGAATGAATCTTTTCATCAAGAATGTTTATATTATGATTATTTAATTTTTCCATAAAAGTTCCTGTGGATAATTCAATGGAAGTAATTATTATTAATTAATTTTTTTTAAAAATTTAAAAGTTATTTAAACAATACTAACTTGCTCGGCTATCAGAATAGATGGAATGACTATTAAAATCATTTAATTTATAAGCAACTAATACAGTCTGTGGCTTGTATCCTGATAGAGTGGTTGGATCATTGGATATTAATACAGCCGTCCCCTCATTTAAGTCATCATACTTGTAGACACCACTTTGATTGTTAAAGCTTCGAATTACTTCACTGTAGAAATGCTGTCCACTTGATGATGTGCTGTATACACGTGCTGTCAATGTATATTCTATAGTGATCTCATTTTCTTGATAACAAAGCTGAAAAGGGAAATCCAATTGTTCTGATGAGTGATAATTAGCACCATCTCTTTGGGTTATTTCAAATATCAAGGTATATGGCAAAGAGATTATGTATTCTTCGTAGAATATTTTTCTGTTGGTACATTGATGAAGGTTTGCACGATTATAAGGACAAGGTTGATCTGGAAGTATATTGTTGATAAATTCATTCTTTTTTGCAAATAATGCAGAAACTTGTCCAACCAGGTTTTGGTTATTCTTGAAAAAAGAGCTATCAAAATCATCAATTCCATTTATTGGAAATAATGGTTTAATGGGTGTTGGTGCTACTTTGACATGACCTGATTCACATGACCAAATTCACAATCCAAGAGCACAAAACTGTGTCATAAGTTTTATTGATTCTTTTTCTTCCGAGATAATACTTTCAAACCAATAGGATAATGATCCAAACTCATTATCTTTTTGCCATTTTTTTTCTAGAACATGGTGGCGAACAATTTCATGGGCTTCATTGAAGTTAGATTTTGTATTTCTAGTTCCTAGAGTATTAACAGTATCTCGGATAGTAAAACTAATATATAATTTTTTTAATCCAGAGTCATGTGTAATTGTTCCGACATTGGTTGACCACCATGGAATTGCATGAAGGTAGTTTACATACAATAATTCCAAGAATGATGTAATATAACATGAGTTTCGCCAATGCGGATATGATTGATATTTTTTGGGAAGTTCAATTACTTTTGGTTTTTCTTTTTTATTGCTAACATCTAAATTTTTATCATTAGATGGTTTATTTTTTAAAATGGCTTTAGCAGTATCTGGTGGTCTACGATCATTTACACCAGCACCTTTGGATTTCTTTCCTCTAGATGATTTGGTTGTTCCATATAATTCTGCAACTTTTTTCCATGGTTCATCATGACCATATTTCAAGGAATGCCCTTTACTTTTGTTTTCATAATCAACTTCCAAAGCTATTACAAACAAAAGAAGGTTCTCAAGACCTAAATGAAATAAGTTCAAGGTTAATAAATAATCAATTAGTCAATTAAGTTAATCAATTATTTTTTATAAAATAAATACCTGTGATAATTGACTGATTGGCAGTTCCACACATGTAATATCGAGAATGCATAGATTCTTGCACATTTGTTGAATTTGGCAATATTTTGGATAGATCCTCATCCATAGAACTTAGTGCAGGAAAAAGGATTTTTCCTGCATCGGTATAATTCATCATTCCAACCAAGTAACAATGTTGGACCAATTTTTCTCTATTTCTTCAATTTGTTTAAAAAATTCTTTAATATCAAGTTTTAAAGGTTTTAATGCCATTGATTGGAATATTGCCGAGTCTTCATGTTTGACAATTTCATGATTTCGTGCAATCCTTGCTCCAGATTGCTGATAATGTTCCTGGCATCCTTTTAAAAAGTTCAATGCTTCGTTTTCCAAATGCGTTTTATGTGAATCTAAAAGAGCTTGAGAGTATGAGGATAAATAGACCTTTTCCAATTTATGTTCAACAAATGCATCAATGAAATATATTTTTCCTAATGCTTAGGTGAGACTTTATGTCCACATTTATTAATTTAAAAATTCATTATTAAATTATTTATTGCATGTATGTATGTATATAATTATTTTCTCTTTTTCTGAAATATTTGTCTATAGATCCACTTTTATTAATTTTTCTTGATGATGTTTTTTGGATATGTCACCAAAATGTTGTTGTTGCTTTATCAGCAAAACCTAGCTATTGTTTTTTTTGAAAATATAAATATAATATACCGTATCATATTTTAAGTATAACAAGTATTAATATTACCATTACCTGTGATTAAGACAATACCACTGATCATCAGATGGTTCCAAAATAAAGTAATTGTAAACAAGAGAGTCATTTTTAGCAGAGGAAGAGGAAGTATTATTATCATTACCATTTTAATTTTCATTTCCATTATCATTTTTGTTTCCATTACCATTTTCATTTTAATTTTCACCCCTCTCATCATCATCATTATAGTTTCTGTTGCCATTATATTCATCATATTAATATTTATATTTATATTCATATTCATATCCACTATCATATTCACACCATTAACATATAAATTATCCTTATTCTTAATATTCATTTTCATAAAAATAGTATGGTGTTAAAAGTGTTAAAAGTGTCAATAGTAGAGAGATAAATTTGTAATAACTAGTACTAAAAGAAGTAGGCAAGTTTTTTTCTACCACAAATAGAAAAGTGATTATCAATTGAAATTATCGAGCTACAAAACAAGCCAAGCTAACTCAGCTTGAAATGAGCCAAGCAAGTTTGGCTTGAAATAAAGACAAATGCTGTAAATAGCTGTTGGTAACTATCATTTTTTGTAAATAGATATGGTAGTTATCATTGCTGCAAATAACCAATTAAAGCAGGTGTCTTTAGCTTGAACCAAGCCAACACATGAGCCGAGCAAGCTATTTATAAGCTTGGCTCTCAAGCCAGTAATTTTTTGGGTGAGCCAAGAGCTAGCTTGGCTCATGTGGAGCTTATTAAGGGAAATTTACACTTACAGATAACATGACTTTTTACAAATGACGCGTCATCCGATGACGTTTTCAGATATAAAAGGAATTGATCGATAATGACCGGAAGGTTAGTCCGTTCGTATTAACTCTACTATTATTATTACTATCTCGAGATTATTTGTGCGCACAAAATTTAGCCAATAAAATTGCTGTAGTAGTGTATTTTTAAGAGGGTATTTTTTTTCCCACAGAATGAATAAATTTTTTTTCAAATTGAACATAATAAAAAAAATGTCGGTAACTAATAATCCTCAATGGCCTTGCGAAAGATGTACCTTTATTAACCGAGTGAGTTTACTTTCATTATTTTCTAGTTTTATTAATATCCATAATATAATAACAAGAATACCTATAATTTTTTTGAAGGGAATTGATTTAACCTGTTCAATGTGCTTTCTTACCAGAACAAATGCTAAAGATTTACCAGTTCAGGTTAACTATCTAGAAATTAATTTTAATCATAATTACAATAACAATTGTAAATTATTGCTATATTTAAATTTTTATTAATATATATATATGTATATATATTATTATTTAAAAAGTGGGAATGGAGGGCTAACGCAGATCAATGGCTTCCATACGATTTGGCATGTGCAGCGGAATTAGAAGAAGCTTACCAAAATAAAAAAACAGTTATGACACCAAGAAAAGGATATTTTTCATCAATACGTGACACTTATGAAATCAGGTTTAATTATTCTACTGGAAGATTTGTACAGTATAATATTGTTGGTGGAGGAACAAGAAGGGTTAGAAGAGTTGCAAGTGGTAATATATATTTACAATATAATTCTAATTATATATTAAAAATTATTAATAAAACATTAACAAATTGTATGTAGACGATAATTCTATTTTACAACCCGTTGAGTATGATACAGTTACATCAGAAGATAGTTGTATTATATGTTTAGATGGTTTTCAAGATCCAAATACAATTACTGCTGATCAACATGTAGTCAAACTTCCTCCTTGTCGTGGACATTATTTTCACAGATCGTGTGTAGCAGGTAAATTATACTTTTATATTTTTGAAATTAAAAAAACTTTTTAAAAGGAATTATTTTATATATATACATACTATTATTATTATTTAGCTGCGATTAAGTTGAGAGATGAATGTCCTTTGTGTAAAAAAAAATTGGATTATTAATTATTTTAATTGATTAATTTAATTGCTTAATAACAATGACATAATATCACTGACAATAATATATTGCTTACTTTTATTTTTAATTTATTCTGTATTTCTTAACCATTTTTTTTATTCTACATATATCAGGCATGATATATGAGATATATTGCTTATACTCACATACATACAAACATGTATATACATGTATATAATTAATATATATTGCTTGTATATACACACTATAATAATAGAAAAATTTTAAGGTGAAAAATTAAATGTAAATTGACATGTAATAATGCAAAATAACGACATTTGCTTTTCGATTTGATTTTTTTGATCAGTCCAAAACCATATGATTTTTGAATTTAGTATATCATGCGTGCCTAGGATCATAAAATTTATTTATACTTTCCTAATAACAAAGAGTATTAACAGTATCTCGGATAGTAAAACTAATATATAATTTTTTTAATCCAGAGTCATGTGTAATTGTTCCGACATTGGTTGACCACCATGGAATTGCATGAAGGTAGTTTACATACAATAATTCCAAGAATGATGTAATATAACATGAGTTTCGCCAATGCGGATATGATTGATATTTTTTGGGAAGTTCAATTACTTTTGGTTTTTCTTTTTTATTGCTAACATCTAAATTTTTATCATTAGATGGTTTATTTTTTAAAATGGCTTTAGCAGTATCTGGTGGTCTACGATCATTTACACCAGCACCTTTGGATTTCTTTCCTCTAGATGATTTGGTTGTTCCATATAATTCTGCAACTTTTTTCCATGGTTCATCATGACCATATTTCAAGGAATGCCCTTTACTTTTGTTTTCATAATCAACTTCCAAAGCTATTACAAACAAAAGAAGGTTCTCAAGACCTAAATGAAATAAGTTCAAGGTTAATAAATAATCAATTTGTCAATTAAGTTAATAAATTATTTTTTATAAAATAAATACCTGTGATAATTGACTGATTTGTAGTTCCACACATGTAATATCGAGAATGCATAGATTCTTGCGCATTTGTTGAATTTGGCAATACTTTGGATAGATCCTCATCCATAGAACTTAGTGCAGGAAAAAGGATTTTTCCTGCATCGGTATAAATCCACCATTCCAACCAAGTAACAATGTTTGACCAATTTTTCTTTATTTATTCAACTCGTTTAAAAAATTCTCTAATATAAAGTTTTAAAAGTTTTAATGCCATTGATTGGAATATTGCTGAGTCTTCATGTTTGACGATTTCATAATTTCATGCAATCCTTGCTACAGATTGCCGATAATGTTCCTGGCATCCTTTTAAAAAGTTCAATGCTTCGTTTTCCAAGTGTGTTTTATGTGAATCTAAAAGAGCTTGAGAGTATGAGGATAAATTGATCTTTTCCAATTTATGTTCAACAAATGCATCAATGAATCCTCTTCTTTCAGCCAATACTAAAATCAATAACTTGTGCATAAAAATCATCACGGTTTTTTGCTTCACTTTCATAATGGTTATCAATCCATTGAAATAAATATTTAAAATGCTCTTTATAGTGAATCTTATCCTCTTTTAAAATCACTGTTATCAAAATGGGTATCCATCTTTTAAGAAGAGGACAATATGTGGAGCTATTCAATTAAAACGAAATTAGTAATAAGTAATAAAGTTTGTTGCTAAACCATCAAATTCAAAAATTTCATTTACCTTGACAACAAAAACGCATTTGAAAAATATTTATAAGTACTATCTGTAACAATTCCTGAATAATTATTTGTTGAAAAACCTTGTTGCTGCATCCAATCCGATTGTAATATAACTATGCCTTTGTTAGTGAAATCAATTTTTCTGACAAAGTTTAGATGATCCAGCTGAAACTGTAATATATCTAAGAAAAAATTGTCTCCATGTTGGTGAGCTGTTTTTGTTATAATATTTTCTTCATCAATTATTGCACGACGATAATATCCAACACGATCACTATTTGTGAACGATTCTGAAATATTACGAACTGAAGATAATGGATGATTCTCATCTAAAGACTGGCCTACCAACAATTTTTTTGGTAATGTTTCAGGTGCATTACGAATTCGCTCTCTTAATTGATCTTTCTCATTATTAAAGGGCTTTGTTTGAATGCATTGTTTGTGGTGGTGGTGTCCACTGTGCAAAATATAATAGCAATATTCATTATTGTCTGGTTGTTCTAATTGGATAAATTTACAACTCGCAGTACATTTGTTCCATTTTAAAGATCCTTTAAAAAAGTTTAATGAAATTGTAAATATTTTATTACAATTTACGTTCAATTAAAAATGAAATTTAACATACCATTACAAGTAGGTACTGAGCAATCCTTATTGATTTGTTCTTCAATTTTTTTTCCATGGCCTTTAATTATTGGTCTGGTTTGTGCATCACACATTTCGCATTCAATTGTTCCAAGACATTTTTTAACATTAAATTGTGCATTATAAGTAGATACTTTTTTTGACTCAACACAGTCAAATGCCCAACCACTCTGAAGCCAATCTCTTGGTTTTTCTTTATATTTAAAAATACAACTTCCACAAGGCCAATGTGGATACTCTCCGCCTAAGAAATATATATAATATATTCAATAAATAATAATAAGGTTTAATTAAATTAAATAAGTTTCAAGATTTACCATTATCACCATTTGAATTGCAATGAGTACAAGCTTCACTGGAATCTAATTATTTAATTGAATAATATGTAATTATAATGAGGTATTTTACTGGAATTAACATTAAAAATTAAACACAACATGTACCTTCGTAAATAGAGTCTTCAATTTTTTTGATGAAAGCAGAAAATTTATCCATTTTAAATAATGATTTATTTTGAGAATGATTTATTGAAGCTATCAAAGCTGAGTGTATTTATACAAAAATTTTTTTTTATGTAACTCATATTCTTTATCATGAAAATCGTCAGTTTTTTAATTATTTCACAACAGTAATTATTTAAAAATTGTCAGTTTTTTAACATAATGTTTATTATTATTTAAAATCGTCAGTTTTTTAACATAATGTTTATTATTTAAAATCGTCAGTTTTTTAACATAATGTTTATTATTTAAAATTGTCAGTTTTTTAACATAATGTTTATTATTTAAAAACATCAATTTTTTAACAGTCAGTTTTTTACATAATGTTTATTATTTAAAAACGTCAGTTTTTTAACAGTCAGTTTTTTAACATAATGTTTATTATTCAAAATCGTCAGATTTTTCAACATATGATTATTTTGAGATTTCTTTACTATTGCCAACTTGCTGTTTTTATTATTTTTTTATTTACTCAAATTTCTAGATTAATAAAACTGTCTTTTTAAAGTAATTTGAATTCAATCGAATGATTTTTTTTTTTAAAAAAATTAAAAAGGATATATCAGTCGCAGGACATTGCGGATCTACAGGGGGTCAAGTAGGGATGGGTCGGTTTCGCTAATAAACGGTTTGAACTCGGTTTGAAACCAACCCCTGGTTTTTTTTTTGGTTTGGTTTTTGGAACCGTTCAAACCGTTCAAACCGGTTACACATGATCAACATGTGACACAAATAG